TATGCAGTTATTAACACAAGGTAGAAATACAATTGGATGACCCCTCGGTTGGTCCTGTTGGCCAATGAATTCAGCTAGTCTGTTCAGACTTGGTCATTTTAGCAAGGAAAAGTTTGCACGTCTCTGTGTATCGGAAAGAGCCAGCTTCTGTTCTGGCTAATGGGGCAGACCTTCGGCTTTTTCCATGGACAGGTTCTTGTTCCACGGCATTCTTGGACCTTTCTGGGTTTAGCTCTATTCCTAAGGCTGATTCTGGCAGAGGCTTCTGCCGGTTCAGGGCAGATGATGTAGAAGTTAAACCCAGGTTATTAGAATACTTTCCCTTGAGCTTAGGCACACGGTGAAAGCTTTCAAAATTGCTAGACCTCTGGGATTAGCAGCATAATATTCAAGAAGAGCCTTTTATGTGTTCTCTTGTGAAGAGCATTCATCCTTCTGCATTATTTGTGGCAGAGAAGAGTCATGACATGCTTTTATCTGTTTAGTGAAATTCTCAACATTTCAAAATTTTTATGTTTTTTTAAAATTAAAAAGTCATCTGTATTGCTAAATATTGCTTTCAAATGGACAGATTAGAGCTTAACATTTGGGTGTTTCTCAGACATTTATTTTCATCCATTCAGTTTCTTCCCATGCAGAGTACAGTGAAAATCCTGGCTTTTACTCTCTGGTTAAGTACTGTCTCACTTTAAATACAGCTCTGTCCTTGAGTGAAAAAGGAAAAGGGATCCCCTTGACAATTAAGTCCAGTCATGTCTGACTCTAGGGACCTGGTGCTCATCCCCGTTTGTAAGCTGAAGAGCTGGCCTTTGTCCGTAGACACTTTCTGTGGTACCAGCTCCCTTATCTGGTCCACGAATATGCCTTGTGTAGCACTAATATAAAACCAAACCAGTATTTTCTGTTTCTTAATTCAAAATACGCAAGGGTTTTTACTGTATACAGTACATGCCATGGTTATAGTGGGTCCTATAGGATGTCTTGTACAGTGACAGTTTTGTTTCTCATGCTGAACATCTGGGGAGTGTGTGTGCATACTGTATATGTAGTATTCTCTGCATTCACCAGTAAATCTGCATTGACTAACATTGTGCTGTAATGTGTTTATGTGGCTGACATGTTTGCAGGACTTCTCCGCGCATTTAAAATTTTGTGTAACTAAGTTTAGTTTTGTTTGTGGTGTTCCCCCACCACACCCCCATATCAAAAAGACTGGATTGTCCCAAAGTCTCATGAATCTGGTTTCCTGTCCCCCTCTTCCAAGTGATTCTTACTGATGGCTTAATTACAAGTCCTTTTTCAGCGGAATTGAATAAGATTGTGGAGTCAGTCTCGGCACTTGTTTCAGAGAGCGATGGCTAATTTGAACTTCCTAGTCAGGTCTTAGCCTTGAAGTGGTTATTCTGAAATCCCTTGTAATTATTAAATGGCAGGACAGAGATGGGGGGTGGGTGGGAATTTTCCAGAAACACACAGACAGAGACATTTAGATTACAAATGCTCTTTCATCTTGGAGAAATGCATCACTTAGAAAATCAAAGTTTTAAACCTCTTGCCTTCTGCCTTCCTTCCTCAGCCAGAGGCATGTCGTTTCAGCAGTGGCAGTGGATGCAGAAAGCTTCTGTGAAGTTGAGATTGTGTGGAGGATGCCATCATCCTTGGAGGGACTGGAGGCCTGACGAAGGCCAGTACGTTGACTTCAAAGGAATGGCACTGATTCTCTTCCTGGATGAAATCTTCCTTCCCAAAGCCTAGTTTGACCCCTTCTCTGAATGACTTGGCATTTAAGTAGTCCATGTGAGGCTGAGGCGGGCTGCGTGTGGGTTGGTTGCAGCCCTCCATGCTGTTCTATTTACAAAAACCGCTGCCTTTTCTCTTGGGCACACTGACGTTGGAGGTTCTCCCTGTGGGCTTTTGTGCATTGTGCTCTGGCTCCATGGCTTCTTTTTAGCACAGTTTTCTCTGCAGTTTCAGAAAGTACTGTGTTTCTTTTCCTGCTTTGCTTTGGAAGACGCCTGTAATGTATTTATTTCCAAACCATTCATTTCTCGGCGTTGCAGCTGGTACCTAGAGCAATTACTTCCTTCACTTACATATTAGTGACTAAGAGTCTAATGAAGCTGTACATGTGAACATATGTAATAAAACCGCAATAGCCTGTTCTTCTTTGCTGCAGAGAATCATTGGAAAGGGTCAGTTTGGAACAGAAAAGGGGCAGCCGTCTTTAACAGCCGTTTCTCTGCTAGAAATAATCCCACTTCCTCAGATTCTTTGCAACAAAGTAGGTTTTTATTGTATTCTATTGAGTGTAATACAGTGGTGCCTCGCATAACGAGTGCACCGTTTAACAACGAATTCGCATAGCGATCCATTTTTTGGGGATCGCTAATGCGATCACATACCGATGCCTAGATAGGCAAAAACTCGCTTTGCGACGATCGGTAAGCGTTTCGCTTACCGATCTTCGCATAGCGTTTTTTAAAAATCAGTTGTTCGGTGGTTCCAAAATGGCCACCGGAACACCCAAAATGGCCACGCGCAGTGTTTTCGCGCCCTGCCCTCGCTTATCGAGGGCGCGAAAATGCCTGCGCTATGGAGGAACATCGCATAACAGGGAGTTTTGGGCCCATTTGGAACACATTAAACTTTGTTTAATGCGTTCCAAAGGGCTTTTTTGTCCCGTATAGCGATGTTTCCCCATAGCGATGGTTAATCCGGAACGGATCAACCTCGCTATATGGGGCACCACTGTATTCTGTTGGATTCCAAAGCTGTGGTTTAGTGTATAATTCAAGTAATTTTGCCTGAAATCAATGAGGCTGAATTCTGAATAAATATGGAGTGGTGTGGGAAGCACAGTACTTTTGCTTGAAACCGGGGCTTTGTTTTCTCAAACTGGTGGTAAGAGTGTGGTAGAAAGACTTACATTAGGACAAGCCTAAATTTGAGTTAAAAGGTTAGTGTTCCAACCAATTTTCTTATACGAAAACTAAAATTTCACCCACTGTTTTAAGACACTGTACTCTTAAGTCAAGCCTTTTAAAAAGAAGTGACTGTAGTTTTTCCTGCTTGCCTGGCTTAGAGGAATTGTGGGCAGGATCTGGCCTCCAGCTAGAATGGCTTCCTTTTCGTTCAGCAGTCCTGTGTCTCTTTGGAGCAGCAACTCAGAATGGGTGAAAGAGATCTGTCCTGAGGGTGAGGCCATGGAAAGACAGCTTCCTTGAGACCTTCTAGCTAGAACAAGTGACCGGGTCATAGCTGTCAGTTGAGCGTAATTGTGGTTATCATTCCAGTTTCAGGAACAATTCCCAGGATAATGAGGCAGACAGAAGGAAGGGTGGGCAGGAGAAACGGGAGCATTTTCTCTGACAGTAACTGGACAGGCTACTACAACTGCTGTAGCAGCTTTCCATCTCTGCACAACTCATGTGGGTGTTCCTGTTCTGGTATTTCCAATAAGCAGCTGCTGCATGAAATTTAATTTTAATTCCTGCTGTTGTTGTAACTTCATTTGCTCAGTCAGGGCCTACTTTTTGCTAAGATTGCAAGTTTACTTCATGATTCGTCACTCATCTGGTAGTCCACTATGGTTTCGTCAAAAAGATAAATTTCCTACTAATATAATGTCATATTTTTAATGGGAAGCAACTTGCCAAAGATTACAGATTAAGGACCCCCCACCCCCACCCAGATTGCCTGTGAGTGTCCTCTGTTTTAAGAGATGGGCCATCAATTCCAACCGGCTATCTGAAGAAGATCTTGAAACCAACATACCTGTTGCAGTTGTTTCCATCGAGGAAGCTTGCCTGGCCTCTGCACCATCAGCCAGGTGAATTTGGGGCATTAAAAACAGGACGTAAGTTTAGAGCTGCCCACAAGAACTTGATGCACAGCCTGGAAGAAGATGATTTATCACCGAAAGCTTGCTCTTTGTTTTTTTGTTTTATATTCTTTGTGGTTGATGAAAGGTATCACCTACTCCTGCATTTGTATTGCCACAGATTGTTTTCTTGTTCACTGCCTGAATCCCGCCCTCCTCTCCCTGTGCCAAGTAGCCTTTTGGCAGAGGCTTTACAACCTTGATGTGCAGTGCATTTGGAGTTAAAGGGGGAGGCAGTGAGGGCAGACTGACTTGCATGGACCTTCCATTCCCCAGAATGGCCCAGGAATGATTACAGCTGTGCTTTGTACTGAGAAGAGGTGTACCTAGGAAGGCTCTTGGATGCTGTGTCTATGGTAGGACAGGTTGTCCTGAATTGAGGTCTGAGAGCCAATTATTCAACCCTGTGGTCTTCTGGGGACAGCATGGACCACATTCCTTCCTTCCTTCATTCATTCAGTTTGCATACCACCCCACAGTTCATACCCTCTCTGGGCAGTTTACAACATGTTAAAAGCATATATAAGTAGAATTATAAATAAATATAATACACACATAAAATCTCTCTCTCTCTCTCTCTCTCTCTCTCTCTCTCTCTCTCTGTGTGTAGGCCTGAAACTGCCGTAAAAGGTCAGCTGTGGGTGTCTATGAGTAGCTGTTCTTCTTTTGCTGTGCAAACTCTTTTGCTCTCTCTCTCTCTCTCTGTGGGGAGGCATTGGGGATCTGATGTGCCCCACAGGCAGCCGCAGAGGACTCTATGAGGCCCCAGGGCCACATGTGGCTTATCCTGGTCCTAAATAAATTGTGTGCAAGAGCTTGTCAAGGCAGCCTGACTTCAGCAGAACTGGTACCAAGCAGTGTTCCGTCCCCTGCTTGGTTTCTTCACACTGTCTTCTAGTTTGAAAACATTTTGCCTGTCTCTTGGTTTCATATGAATAGACAGCTTGTGAAATTGATTTAAAAGGAATACTCTTATTTGTGCTTCATATTTTCTTCCTGTAGTTTTAGAAGAAAAAGTTACCTTTGGTGACAGGACAGGGAAAATACAATGACTTGGGTAACTTTAAAATTGGAAGGGAATGATTAAAATGGCAACTAACAGATTTTTCATCCTTTTCAGGTCAGAGTTTCCAGTTTCTTTTGTTCCTTTCACAAGAAGAGGAAATGACATTGACGAAACTTGCTCCCAGTCGGTCCCATATACACTGTTTTCATATCATAGAGACTTGCAAGGTATTAAAAACAGTGGCCATTCTCTGAGGGCGTTTTTGAGGATCCTGTCTTGGATTAGGAGAAGACAAAAATGACAACTTCATCCATCAGGCGGCAGATGAAAAACATTGTGAACAATTACTCAGAGGCCGAAATAAAAGTTCGGGAAGCAACCTCAAATGACCCCTGGGGTCCGTCCAGCTCGTTAATGACTGAAATTGCAGATCTAACATACAACGTGGTGGCTTTTTCAGAAATCATGAGCATGATCTGGAAGCGGCTGAATGACCACGGGAAGAACTGGAGGCATGTTTACAAGGCTTTAACACTGTTGGATTACCTGATTAAAACTGGGTCGGAGCGGGTGGCACAGCAATGCAAGGAAAACATCTTTGCAATCCAGACTTTGAAGGATTTTCAGTACATTGACCGGGATGGTAAGGACCAGGGCATCAATGTACGTGAGAAGTCCAAGCAGTTGGTATCTCTCCTGAAGGATGATGAACGGCTCAAGATGGAGAGAGCCCAGGCACTGAAGACCAAAGAGCGTATGGCGCAGGTGGCCACCGGGGTTGGTAGTAACCAGATCACCTTTGGCAGAGGTTCCAGCCAGCCTAATCTCTCCACCAGCTATTCGGAGCAAGAGTACGGCAAGTCTGGAGGCTCTCCAGCATCTTACCATGGGTGTAAGTATACATGGACAGGCTGGATGGATGGAGGCCTGCTTTTTCCACAGCTTTCTGTCTCTTCTCATATGTGGCGGCTGATCAAAGGAAACCTGGGTCTTTGAACCTGTCATTTTGAGGTTTCTGTGTTGAGCAGTCACCATGCGATTTCAGGTTGTAACTCCATTTGTTTTGCTTGTGGAACCTGTGGTATATGCTTTAAATTAAGCTTACACTTTAAAAAAGTTTAAATTTAGTGATTTCATGAGGGTCCTTAGAACTGACGGCAAGATTTTTTAATAGGCAAGTTTCCAGTGTTATATCTTTCCGTGGCATGTCCTCTTACAGATATCCAGTCTCTCTCCCCCCCCCCCCCACAATATCATTAAGTATGTTGTGATGAACAGTGAATATGCACAGAAGCAAACTGGGTGGCCAGAATGGGCAGGGCTCTGGTGAGATCTACAGTCAGAGTTGTCATTAATATTTTTAGTTTTTGTAGGAAGCATATGGACCTACATGCACAATTCTTTGCACATACTAGAAGTAGTTGGTTAGCAGTTTCCTAAAATCTAACGTAAGTGTTTGGTGTTGCCATTCTCTAAAATATTTACAAGTATTCCACCAAAGATGTTTTTCTTGTGAACATCCTGAATGTCACATAAATGCACTTTTATGGATTACTCCCTGCAAATATTTCAGTTTACCAACTTCTGTTGGCCACTCCAACCAGTACTTTTCAGACAGCTATGTAACATCGAAACATAGTAAATGTGGGAAACAGCTTCGCCTCCATCCAATTCAGAACATCAGAGTTCTGATGTTAGATGAAGTGAGAGGTTGCTAAATCAATAATTTGAAGAGTTCGGGATCTCCTAGACAGCAGGGCAGCTAGTTGCCATTTAATCATTTTGCCTGCCATTCATGTCCTCCCAGGACTTGGCCTTGTCAGGAATTGCCTGCTTTGCTGCAAAATACGGTCATTTTGGATATGGTACTTTGTCCCAAACCTCCCCGGCAATGCACAAGGCCACTTGTAACATGCTCAGCAGGTGGTGGCTAATTGAGGGTAGCGTGTTAAATGGTTGAAAAGCATTGATTTGTTAGTGTTAAAACCTTGGAAGACAATTACAGAATTGATTTCCCAGTTGTTAATTCATTAACCTTTTACATTCAAAAAGCTCTTACTTCCTAGGAGTGTTTTTCCAAAGCTAACTCGGCCCATGGCCATAATTAACACCTTGTGGCAAAGGATGACACATTCTGTGCTGTGTTGTCCTCAAACCTTCCGTCAGTATAGCTTTATTGGAAAAAGCAGTTTTGGTGCTATATGACGGTAGCGTTTGCTCTCTTACTGTAGTTTTCCTAGCATTTATAATTCTCTCAAGTGTTCCTTTCTGAAGTGGAACCGAGGCTACTGAAATAGGATCTCTAGTAAGGCTGTTAGTCTTTAAGGAAGCCACAGAACCCTTTCCCCCATAAGTGCTCAGTGATTACAGCTTCATAATTACATGCCCCTCAAAATCAGCACTTCCAGCCCTAAATGGCATAACAGTCAGCAGGGCTAATGTAACTATTCATGGTTTTTCCCCATGATTCATTATGGGTTCCCATTATTCAGGTTTGGTGTCACAGTGCCTTTAAAAACAAATATATTCTGTATTTCTTTAACTTTGAAAGTCTCCATTTTACATATGGTGTAAAATGAATATGCTGTTTTTGGAATTGCTTTTTCCAATTTCTTCTCTTTCCTGCAAAGTGTTTTTTTTCACACGTGTTCCAGTAAATTAATAGAGACTGTAGTTTCCATAAAGTAATTCTTGATCTAAGAATTAGAATCTTGAGCTAGCATCTAAGATAAGCAATGTCAGAGATTGTCTCCCCCCACCCCGTATATTCAGTGTCGTAAGTTCATGCCATTGATGTGCTTGTCAGCCTGAATGTTTGTTTTTTGTGGTGTCATATATATTGGTTTAGTTGTTACACAGGGGCGAGGTGGTAAAAACTCCTGAAGGCCTATGTCATATATGAGCCGAACACATTTCTCTTGTTGTGAGGACCTGGGGCCATGTGAGTAATGGTTCCTCTTTCTCTAGAGATAATTGTCATATAATTTTTACTGTAAAAGTGTGGCAGCCTCTTCAGGTAACATCTACCAATCACAAATAGATGAGAGCAAAGCCCTACAGTACCCCAGATGGCTTAAACCAGCGATGGCGAACCTATGGCACGTGTGCCACGGCTGGCACGCAGAGCCCTTTCTGTGGGCACGCGAGCCATAAGTTGCCGGATTGCTACTCTCCCTCTCCGCGCAGCCAAACCTCAGGAGGTAGCTGCAGCCGCAGTGCTGGCACTTCGACAGGCGGTGGGCCAGGATCCAGAGCAGCTGGCACTGGCGGTGGATCCAGAGTGGGGTCTCGAGGCACCTCCATGCCCAGGATTCCCCCCTTCCACTGCCACGTCCAGTTCCACCACTGCCACTTCCAGTTCTGCCACCACCCGTTGGTTTGTTTTTTTTTTAAATATTATTTCAGTTTGGGCACTGGCTTAAACCTAGGAAAACTATTAGTAAATCTTTAGGGAAACAAATAAAATATGAAGAGCCACTAGTCACAAGGACAGATGGAGGAAGAGAATCTGACTTTCAGTGACAGCTGAAACTTGGGAATGTTTTTTCTTTCTTTCTGTAGACAGAAGCATGCTGCAAAAGCTGGCCAATGGTATTTTTATGTAACAGCAAAAATCCCTCCGTGATTTCCATGTAGCTTGAAAAGCCTTAATCTCTGCATTTCTTAAGGCAGTAAAAAAAAACTGGGTTTAGGATGTCAAAATTGGCTCTATTCAGTGCCATCTTGCATAAACATCTGAGTTAACTGTCATGTGTCGGGCTATGGAATAAGAATCTCTTTGTGTTGTTGTATCGCCAAGGCAATACGTGTTATGCTTGAGACTTACACATTGAGCATTTGGTTGCTTAATACACAAATGTCTTGCTAATTCAACAAATTAACCAATTTGGGATGAGGGGAAGTCCACAGAGAAATGCCAGTAGGGGCCTCTTAATGATAACACTGGCTTCTTTCAGCGGTTTTAATATTGACATGAAATGTAGAAGGTCACGTCTGTGTTTAGATGCAGTTTTGTGTAGCCCCCTGTCCTAAAACTGGAAGGAAACTGCTTTGCTAAAATCTTTATGCCTTAATGTGGGAAAAAAAAAAACACAGCTGTGAATTCTAATCAGAATGGGAAGCAGAAACTTTGAAAGGGCTTCAAGACTGTTGATTACAGAAGGTCGAGATGAGACTTGTTGTGGGATCGGGTGCATATTTATTCAAGCAAGCCTCCCATTGTTCAGTGGGATTTACTTTCTTGTAAGTGGGTAGAGAATTGCACCCTAGTCTGTAGTGAGAACCCTCGACCTTAGCTAAGTTCTGCTCATTGCTGAGTGTAGCAGACTATTACGTTTCGTTTGGGTGCTCGCTGAGGAGCAAGGGTCTCATGCGTTGAAACCTGTCCTCCAGGCTGCTTAATAAATACCCATGAAATCAGAAGATACGAAAGGAGCAGAGTGGAGAAAGGAATAGCCCTTTAGCATGGCCTGCCTGCTAGTCTACTCAGCCAGGCGTTTGTGCATCTAGCCCTGTATTTTCAGCACCAGTTGGCAGTGAACCTGCAACTCTTAGTGTGCAACACATGTTTGCTGCTGCTGAGCTGCAGCCTCCCCCCCCCCCTTTGTGGTATCATGTTATACATCGGTAGGCCTGTTCAATATGATCAGCAGTTCCATCTGCCTTGCATCGTATTATATCATGTAGCTAGTTTTGCGGGTGAATTGAGCGTGGCAGACGTAAGTGCTGCCTATCAGTGGTGTGAATTCATGAGGCAGTTTCGGTGGATTTATGGCTCTCTCTCTCTCTCTCTCTCTCTCTCTCTCTTTGTCTGTCTGTCTCTAGCCAGCAGTCTACCGTTTCCACAGTCGCTGTGTAGTTTTTCTGCTTGACTGGTTAAGCAGGTATCACAGTTACTCACCACCATGTCCTCTCCATTTGGGGTCTGCCTCGGCCATAGTATTAAATAGGATGAAATCACCAAACTGACTTCCAGATTTCTCCTTATCAATGTCCTTGTTCTGTTCTTGTTCCATATTTGCATTATTCCTACAAATATCTTATGGCCATTTCCTATTGAAATTTAATATGGAAGTGTGTGTGTGTGAGAAAGACAGAATGACGGACACATTTTCTTGTGTATTTTTGGCCTGAAACATGCTGTGAGCCTTAGATATATGGAGATTTCTCTGAAGCAAGATATGTGTCCCATTCCATTGCCAGTTCCTTTCTGTTTCTGCGTGGGAAGAGAATGCAAAACAAAGAAATTTATTTTTCGTTCCTCCGAGTGCATTCCTCTGGTAACCGTTGATCCTTCTGGCTTTCAAGTCTTTTGGCATTTTATCTTAAATGGATAGCATCAGCCTGTAAAGTCTCACAAGATTTTCTTTGGGTCACTGATTCTTGGAACAGAAAGTGAGACTGTCTTTGGAGTTTTGTTTTCCTCCATCCTCCAGTCAGCAGCAGTAAGATATGGTAGCATGGTGCCAGGTTGCTTTTCTCTTTAATGTTTAGAGTATCTTCCTGATTTTGTTGAGTCTGTCGTGATTCTGTTTCGGCAGGGCACCGCTGTGGGCTCTTGTGACACTGCCTTGAATTTGTACTGTATTTGATGTGTTACTCAACCTGTCAGAAAGCAATACAGCTAGCTTATTCTGAGGAGGGTTCCTCTCGGGAAGGAGGTGAATTTGCTAATTGAGGGCATAGCAAGTCTGGAGTCTGTCACAGAAGCGACCAACATGACTTTGACCCAACTCCGGGAGGCAGGGGAAGACAGGAGGGCCTGGCATGCTCTGGTCGATGGGGTCATGAAGAGTCGGACACGACTTAACAACTAAACAACAACATAGTCTGGAGTCAAACGTAGATGCCAATGTTCTGTTTTTTTTTTTATTTTACAACAGCTACATCACCCCGAGTGTCTTCAGAGCTGGAGCAGGCGCGACCCCAGACCAGCGGGGAGGAAGAGCTCCAGCTGCAGCTGGCGCTGGCCATGAGCAGGGAAGTCGCAGAACAGGTTGGTTTATCCCTGCTGGATTGTGCAGAGGCAGAGGCCGTGTAGGGGGTTGACAGCTCTTGCCTTAGTAAGCAGTTCAAGCCTAGGCGGAGACATGCATGCGCAAGAGGGGGCTCACTGGCTTGGCTGCTGTGGTTGAACGCTCTCCTGACCTGATGGAAAGCAGCAGCAGCAGCCTGTGATAAATGAGGGCCAGTTCCTTTCTGTTCCGCGGTGTCAAGTGAGAAGTGCAACTCCCTCACCAATAGAAGGTGTGAACTCTTCATGTGGAAGGGATAAGGGTTAGCCATCGGAGTCTAAAAACAGAACACCACAGCTCTAACAGTGCCGGTCAGTTTTTCCCCATTCTGCATGCTAAAGTATATGTTGTGAGGGTGGCAAGCCAGTTATCCTCAGAAAGAAAAAATGATGTGAGTGAAAGACTGGCATTCCGCCCACAAATTAGTGGAAGCTTTGAGCAAAAATGTAAAGAGGGAGAAACCGAATGCAGACTACACATTTTGTGAAGGGCTAGGAAGGAGCTTTCTTAGAGATGGGACCCACACAACGAATGCTCCCCTCCCCTGCCCAAAAGGTCTTTTCTATCTTTTCTTCTAGTCCTACTTCCCAGGAGAGCATTTCACGAATGTTTTGGTTATACTCTTGTTCTTTGGTTAATATAGTCTTTGTTAGCAAACTGGTTTTCACATACTGGCAAGTTTTGTTTAGGCTTATTTTGTCTTAGAGCAAGTGTACCGCTTTAGAGTAATTGCTCAATAGTTTTTAAATCCGTATTTTCTAAATGACATTGTCTTCCCTCTGGGGGTGAAAAATCTGTAGTCATTTCATGTTCTGTTGGATGATCGTTTTTTGTTGTTGGTTTTTTTCATTTTTTTTTTATTTTGGCCTGGATTATTACTATTAATAAATGGCTCATTTCCTTCTCCCCCACAACTTTTCTGTAGGAAGAGCGCCTTCGTCGTGGGGATGATTTGAGACTACAGATGGCTTTGGAGGAAAGTCGCAGAGATACTGTTAAAGTTCCCAAAAAGAAAGAGGTAGGTCTTGGTCAGTGAAAACATTCCCAGTCGTTACAAGGGCATAGTGAAGAGATGATCCCATTTCAGAGGACCCTGCCAATTTCATGTGTCTGGATGTCGGTGTTTACACAGGATAGCATTTGGCCATAGAAATTTCTTCCACGGAAGGTCGAAATCCTGAACACACAGATCAAGGGCCTGTGAGAGAAAGAAGTGATGCATTTTCTTCTCTTGCAAACTTTTCTCTCTTTAAAAGGGGAGAATGGGAAGGAAAAAAAATGCTTTGTCGACACTTGGTGTGTATGTGCAGTGCTTAAATGGAGATTCTTGCTCATCCACAGCACACAGCTCTGTTGGATCTCATGGATGCGTTGCCTGCCTCAGCGTCGGTTCCCCAGAAGAAAGCGCCTTGGGGCCCCTCAAGTGCAGCGGACCAAACAGATCCTTGGGGGGGTCCAGCTGGCAGCAGGACAACCTCGGACCCGTGGCAATCGTTTGGTAAGAATATGGAAAACTGTAAATGTGGCAGTGATGGTCTGTTGTCCCTCGTTCTAGTCTTCCTCCCCAAGGTCAGAGTGCTGAATGCATCTCTCCCCACCCCTGCCCCACGTTCAAGTCATAGTCATAGGTTTTCCCCAAGAGTAAAGGCTTTCCCTCAACGTGAAGGATCTTTTTTTTGCCTTCCAGAGGGATGAGGGAAGTGGTAGGCAGCCATTTTATAGTCGGCAGTAACAAAAGCAACAAAGAAGCATATGGCATTTTAGAGAGGAATGATTTGTTTTTTATTGGGTAATCTTTTTTTGAACTGCAGCCCACTTCATCAGATGCAATAAAATGTATTAGCCTTTATGATAGCACAAAACTCTGCAGTCGTAGTAGTAGTTGTTATTGATCTGTTCTCAGTCATCCCAGAGTGTAGGGCACGTCATAATGGGCTCAAGTTACAGGAAGCCAGATTTTGGTTGAATATCAGTTAAAACGCAAGCCCATCCTCAACAGAAGCACAGAGTGGCCCCTTAGATTTCTGCTACCTTCCTGTGGCGCATGGCGCATGTTGGAGTTGTTCTTCAGATGACTAACGTTGTCTTCCAGAGTCTTTGCTGTGTTTGCCTCCTGAATCACGCTTGCAAGATAGGTCATTATTTTTTGCTCTTGACATTCTGGAACTGGAACTTATTCAGATGCTGTGTGTAGAGCATCTAAATAATGGCTGGCGTTGCCGTCGCTTAGAAGCCACATTTTTCAGTGCTCCCCTTGCTTGCCATCAGCATTTCTCTGGGGGATTGTACTAACATTATACATCTTAACAACGTAATTAAAAATATATATTCAATCCTGTTTCTCTTGGGTAGTGATAGCTCTTAATTGTTCCGTGCTTGCAGCAGCTCGTCCTTTATTGTCAACAGTAAAAGGGAGGCATTGGGGAATCCAAGCGAAGGATGATTGTTCTTGGCCTGTAAAGATTCTCTTGTCAGTTTCGATTCTCGATACAGGAAAGCAAAATCCGTGGTCCCAAATGCAAGCAGGAACTTGTCACTTCGCACCCTAGCTACAGCTTCGGTGTTTTCCCCGTCACTGGCTTTCGGCGCTCATTAGCATCAGTGATAACAGTCCCTTGTTCTAATTTGCCAGCTACTTGGCTCCAGAGGATAGTTTTGTGGGGGTGGAGGCGAGGAATAGATTTATATCTCTGAACAACAGTGTTAAAAAAGAAGAAGAAGAAGGAAAAAAAGAGTGACTCAGAGCAGAACAGAGAGTAAGTCTTGGTTTGCTGGACTGACATTTCGGTATAAATAAGGGGCTGCTTAGAGGAAGGTGTCGGTCCTAAATGGCTTTAGTTTCTACGTCCGCCCTGCTTTTGTTATCTGTCTCATGAAAAGGGTGACTGTTTGAGAAGCTTCCACTTGTGGCAGCCCCGGGCCATTAGCATTTCTTGCATGGGATCATTGATAAAACACAGGAGGAGGAGGAGGAAATGGGAATGCTGAGGACAGAATTCCCTGTGTTCTCCTAAAAGCTCTTCGGCGTTTCCTGTCTTTTGCAAAGGGTGGGAGCTGGAACAAAACCCTGCCACCTGTTAATGAGCGTTGCTGATGATTTTGCAGTTCAGAAATCTAGCCTGTGTTTTTCAGCCATGTGCCTGAAAGAGGGTAAAGAGAGGAAGAAAGAGGGATAAAATTACAGCAGCAGGATGGGATTTTAAGATACTCTTGATGGTCTTCATCTTGTTTTGGTTTTTTGGTACAGGCAATCAGAACCAAGTTTGTAGAAGTGGTTATTTATTGTTTTAACTGTTGGTGATTTCAGTTACACTTTTGGTTCGCTGTGGGAAGTCTTTGTTAACCGTGAGCTGCTTTTGTCTTGGATCACAGAGTTTTGAGTTTTATCCTGATTGAGGTGCAAAGCTTATGGGCCTAACTGAGGAAGGGGATTCGTAATTGGAAAAGCTCAGGGTGAAATTGATCTGTTGGCTACCCCACAAGACACTTTTCTGTTTTGTTACACTGAAACAGACTAAGACAGATTCCTTTCTGGGGTGATCTTGGATCATCAGAGACCAAAACAAAACACTCTTTTTGTGACTTTGTAGCTGGTACTCTTTGTCTAACAGAGCTTGTTTCCTTTTTGCCCTCTCCAAGACACCTCATGGCAGCCAGTGATAACTGTGGAAGAACTGACCTCTGAACAGAGTACAGTGGTGCCTCGCTTAACGATGATAATCCGTTCCAGGAAAATCGCTGTTAAGTGAAAACATCGTAAAGCAAAATTAAAAAGCCCATTGAAACGCATTGAAAATCCTTCAGTGCATTCCAATGGGCTGAAAACTCACTGTCCAGCAAAGATCCTCCATACGGCGGCCATTTTCGGTGCCTGTATAGCGAGGAATCCATCCCTATGCACAGTGGGGAGCCATTTTAAGCACCCGGTGGCCATTTTGAAAATGCGACGATCAGCTGTTTTTGATCGTCATAAAGCAAAAATCGGTTTGCAAAGTAGGGAACCGATCATCGCTAAGCGAAATTCCCCCATTTAAAACATCATTTTGCGATCGCAAAAACATTGTTGTAAAGCGGATTCGTCGTAATGTGGGGCAATCGTTAAACAGGGCATGACTGTATCCATGGATAAATCGTCTGTGTTGCACCTTCCTTGAGGCTGTGGGCTGTCCAGAGAGCCTTGGCTTGTTGGATGCTGAGCAAATGCAATAAATGAGGAGGAAACAAAGGTCGGGCGCCTCACTGGGGATTCTGCTTCCTTTGTCTGCAGGTGCCAAACCAGCAGCCTCTGTTGATCCATGGGGAGGCCCAACAGCCTCATCTGTTGCCCAGCCTCCCCCAAAGAACATAGACCCCTGGGCTCCCTCACAGCCACCCTCTGTGGCAACAAAAGACCCCTGTGACCCTTGGGGACCAGCACCAGCCAACAAGCCTATTGCTGCTTCAGGTAAGTGACGTGCTACCTGCTCATCCTCCTAGGGAACTCTGCCTTAGTATAACTCAGGCCTTAACTCAGTCTGGACACTGACACAGTTGCTGGTGATTATTTCATTCCGCCACCCCCTTGGGAGATTATTGACCATTACAGTGGATTTTTGACACTCTTAAGAATGCAGTGTATCCCACCAGCATTTTGCAAGACAGGTGCTTTAAAAAAAAACACCCCAGTTTATTGGTCTTCACTCTTTTGGCAAAAGGAAAGCATGGATTCTGATGGTCATATTGTTGCTATGATGATGGGACTTTTAAAATCCTCCTTCAGTAAGTGACCTCCGCGGTCACTTACTGAAGGATACCCTCTTAATCTGTGAAGAGCAGTGTCCTGATCAAGATGGTGAGCGGTGACACACAAGGAAGAAATGAGCAGGAATTAAAAATCAAGATATGAATTATTCACAGAAGCCATGTCTCTACCTTTTGGGAATATGAAGAAGTTTCATTGCATTGCTTTTAGCACAGATTACGACTAGATAGCCAAGCATAGATGTCGGCAGCTGCTAGACTGCGACGGATCTTCTCCCCTGAGAGTGCGTAGCACATTCCAGATGGGAAGTGCCACCTCCAGCGTGTTTTGCTTGTCTGTCCTAACAGTTTCTAGAAGAGATAAGCCTAGAAAATTCACGCCTTGTAGCTTCTGCTTTGGGACTCCGTCTAGGATCTGTAGTTGCTGCCTGGAGAACCTTTGTCCAGTGGGAGCATTTACAGGGATGAAGCCCCTAGCACAAGGAGACCAACGCTTCTCCTTGCTTTTATTTTGTCTTTTGGATCTGCCACTCGTTGCTAATAAATCTGTTATTCCATCACACACAGGTGACCTGAGTTCTGATTATCTGTGTGGTTACCTGGTTGGCAGCATGTCTATTGAGTCTTTTCAGTGTCTCAGTTACTGGCTTGATTTTAGTGCCTTCTTTCCATGTCTTTGAGTTGTATGAGTTCTGTTTAAAGCAAAATTGCAGGTATGTCTGGCACGCAAGAAAGAGAGAGACCAGCGAATTGTGAAAGATTTAAATACAGACACAGTGCTGAAGCTGAGTCATGTTTAACTGTGTAAGCTTCTTTGAGCCCAAGACGGAAAGGCAGGGTCTAAGCAAGATGAATTAGCATGTCTTCCAGTGGGGACTGATTTCTCTGTTTGTGGTGATTCTGACTTGCCGTTTCTGATTCTTATAAGAATATATCAGCCTCTGGAAGGACTGAAAAGAAGTGACTTCCTCTCTTGTAGACAATGTCCTTGTAGACAATGTGCAACAGTTTTTCTGAAGATGCTAATTGCAAGGGCTTACGGTTCTTCCCTGCAGGTAGCAAATCTTTCGACCTTTTCAGCAATTTGAATGGAGCGATTAAAGATGATTTTTCTGAATTCGACAGCCTTCGAACTGCTAAGAAGCAAGGTATGTGTGAAATAAGCATTAGATATATATTTACAAAGGCTGTTGAGCCTCATAATTTTGCATCACCTTCCTGCTCCCTCCCAGAAAGTGTTTAAAAGATGAGGCAGGTAAATTGTTAAGGTGCTGACACATCCATAAGTGGGGGAGAGGGGGTGCTAGGAGGGAAGCTTAAGGGTTTATTTTCTGAGTGGTGTTTTGAACTACTTGTTCTTTGGTAGTTTTAATCAGGATGTATCCTCTACGTTGTCAATCCAAAGGCTTGAGGACACTTGAAATCATTGCAGTAACTTCAGCTGAATGTAAATTGGCCAAAGGTTGCGGCAGAAGAAATTCCGCTTGCTTTCACCAGATGGGGATTTTAGAGTTAGGATTTTTAGAGTTCGGACTGAATGATACTCTTCACCTGGCACCACCCAGGCGCCCTTGAGGGAGACAGGATTCCTGATAAGCCCAATGCTATGTGTGGTTCCAGCTCATCTCAGTGGCACTGATCTGAGGTTCCCAGTAGATTCATTGTGGACTTCTCCTTTCGGGGAGTGGGAGCTGTTTATCTTTTGCAACTGCTGACCCTTGGGATTTAGCTGGAATGGTTTCCCACTCGTTTTTCCACTGGCAAGATTTTCCAGTGCGCAGCGGCCTCTGGTGCCACTGCCTGTCCGTATGCAGCACGTATAGCCAAGTGGCACCAGCAAACCCCCAAGTTTATCAGACAGAGCAAAATCTTTCCCATTTCCTTCTTGTCCAAACCTTTCTAGCAGGTGAGAGTTGTGGGGTCTGTGTGTGTGTCGAAATGGGGTTTAGATACGGCGTGGTCTGCCTCTGAACTGTTTCCCCTTCCTTTTGAAACAAGAGCTGCAAAGCCGGCCATCTTTCAGAAGCGAATTCATATCATTTGATCACACCAAAATAAATGAAGATATGATCGTTGGGCTCCTGAAAAAAGAAAAAGAATAAAGGGAAAAACACACCCTTGCCTTTCACCCTATGTACATTTATATTTGCGCACGAACCATAGTTCGGCCCGGTTTGGCATAGCGACTGCACAGGTGTTCCCTGGGCACTGTGTGCTTCCTTCCCCTCCTGCCTCCACTGGCAGTCGCCCACTCAAACGAGGAGGTGGGGCAGGGAAGCCATGCACTGCTGCCTCTGAGCGGGTGATCAGCTGAGGAGGCAGGGCAGGGAAGTGCACAGCGCCCGTGGGATACCTGTGTGGGCGCTGGGCCGAACTGCTCTTCTGTTGCGCACTTTGATGAAACAGTTTGTCTGATCTGGCCCAAAGTGGCTCCACTTCTCCATGGGGCCTGGTTCTGAATGCAGATGTTTAGAATAGCAGGAGAATAGGCATGGGTCAAAATCTGATGCTTCTGAATGTCTTCTCCATAGAGACAATTAACCCGTGTCTGTACCCAACAGCACTCTAAAGAAGGACATGAAAGGTCAGTTTGTAGAAACTTTCTATTACCTTACCCTTTAAATGCCATGATAGGGCCCTGAGGTACTTCTCCAGGATGCGTAGGATGAGTCATGTTCCACCTCCTTCCAGTGGCAGCGACACTTTAATTTGGGCCCATCACATGAAACGATGTGGAGGGGGGTGGGTGGGATTAAGAAATCCCAGCATCACCCAGATCTAAGGCTGTCTAGGTCGAAAGCATTCATTTATCACCATCTTTTTGTCAGGAGTACACTTTTACTCCACTGGGCTCCAATGCATACCTACTTAGAACTGCACTAAAACAGGGGAATGAATAGGAAGTCGTACTATGTCTAAGCAAGTAATTTGACACAAAAAGAACTTTTAAAAAAGGGGCAATCATGTTTCGTTTCAGCTGATTCAGGTTCCACGTTGTCGGCACACAACAGCGGCTCAACCAGCCCAGACCTCTTCGAGTCTCAGCCTGCCAGTTTGGTGTCAAGTAAGCAGAGCGCGGCACGGAAAACGCCCGAGTCTTTCCTGGGCCCCAACGCCGCTCTGGTGAACCTGGATTCTTTGGTATCCAAGCCGCCTCCACCCGCCCCTTCGCTGAACCCGTTCTTAGCTCCAGGTACCTCTTGCTGTGGAAAGGGAATGCTCGGTGGCTTTGAATGGGGACAGGCGACTCTTTAAATCACAGAGAGGGGGACATGAATTTGCCTTTTGGGTTAGGCCAGTGGGCTTCTGTCTCATCTATTTTGAGTGCCTCACCTCCTCTGGATTCCCCAAGAAATGTTTCATGCCCAGAAGGAGCAGCAGGTGCTTTGACTTTGGTCAGAGTGCTGTTAACACCCTGGTTAGCATGAGCAACATACAAAAAGGAAAAGAAAAGAAGGGACTGCTATTTAGTTGGCCTCCTGCCCTCTCCTCTTCGCTGCAAATGACTGGCTACTGAGTGAACAAGGTGTGGGGCTAGAGAAGCCTTTGTTTTGAGAGGGGCTTGATACAGAGTACCTGCTTCGTGCTTGTGTTGATGTTTTTCCTTCAGATGGGAAGCACTTATAGACCAGACTCTCTCTCTCTCTCTCTCTCTCTCTCTCTCTCATCCTACCACTAGGGACGGTAGCAGCTCCTTCATCCACTCCAGCTGCAGTCAACCCCTTCCAAGTCAACCAGCCTCAACCCCTCACTCTCAATCAGATGCGGTCGAGTCCCGTCATGGGAAGCAGCCCGTCCTTCAGCGCCCTGCCGGCTGTGGGCATGGAGCCCGTACCTCTGCCTTCTGTGGCCCCCGTGGCGATGGCCGTGGCCCCCATGCCAGCCATGGGCACAGTGGCGTCTCTTGCCAGAATGGGACCCCCGGGGATGAGCGTGGGCCTCGTCGGGCCAGTGGTGCAGCCGCTTCACAGCGCCGGAATCGCCCCCTCGGCCTCCCAGGCTGCAAATGCCACTAACCCCTTCCTGCTATAAAAAAAGCCCCCCCCCCAGTGGGTGGAACTTGAGTTATGGAAAGGTTTGCAGAACTGAGCCAAGCGTCAAAGGCTGGCTTGGGTTCAGCCATGCGTGCAAGAAGACTCGGGGAGATGTAGGTGTGTGCAGTTTGTCTTGTGGAAGAGCTTCAGTCATGGCTCGCCATTTAATCTCAGCCTTGCATTTTCTGCATAAGGTACTTTTCACGGTGGGGCTTGTGAACACACAGCATAAAACGTTCAGACTTAGTCACCAATGTCAGGTTTCTTTTCCCTTTCTGCCCCCACCCCCACCCCAACCCCCAGTCCTCTCGACAACCTCCATTCTTCTTCTTCTTTTTTGTTAAAACATTTCAGTGTTATAGGAAAAAACAGGCCCTTTAAAATAGTCTCCTTCGCTTTTATTTTGTATAAGCTACGACCCAAACCCGTCTGAACCTGTTGCTTGTAAAGAATAGATTGGAAACTCAGAAGTGCTAGTGAATGTGTTTGCACATAAACCATATACTCTTTTTAGACTGTTGGTTCACCCATAGTCCTTATACATCTTAGGAGGGGAGGAGGAAAAAGGAAGGAGAATTCGGGGTGCACAGAAATGATGTATAAATATATATTACATATTTTCCTTGCACATGAAAATGTAGTTCAAAACTGGACCCTTTTCTCTCCCTGCCATCGGGAGAGGAAGGTTGGAGTCTGTGCAAAAGGCAAGCTTTTTTAATGGTCGTTGTTGAAATCCAACAGGTGTGTGCTGTTTGTATGAAGTCTTGAATTTCCGTCTTTCCAAGGACTTGTCAAACACTTCTGTCTGAACGGCCCTTAATGCTGTCCTGGTGTCCAGGAGTGTTTCTGCTCTGTGCTTGTCCGGTAGTGACTTCATTTGGAAATTGCAGTGTGCGTGTATGTATGTTTTCGTCGTCGTTCTTACTTGACTCGAGATGCAAGTTTAAAAGGGGTCAAAGGAGGGAGACAGTGGGGCAGGAGTGAATTCCGTTTCATTGGGGCAAGCCGGGGAACTGGTTCGGGATGAACCTGGCTATTGTTATGCAGTCATTCTTACACACTTTTGCACTTTTTAAAAGAAATACCATTTGGGATTTGTGTTGGAAGGCCTGGCTCAGTTTTCCTCTAGCCATTCTTCATAATGTCATTCTTATTTAACAGTCCATTGCTTTGGTAAACTGACCAGGTCTAGCTATGAAATTGAGTGACTGTGGCTTTTTTTCTTTTTCTTTTAAGGAGCCAGTGCCCTATTATTGTATGTATGTATGTATGTATATATATATATCTATTTTAGCTCATGGTTTCCGTAAAGAGTCTTTAAAAGGGAATATTGATGCACCATTTGCTTTTGAACAAAGAATTTAATGAAGATTTTAAAACTCCTGTGGTAAAACTGCCAAGTGGAACATGAACGTCAAATGATGTTTAAAAGGAAAACACTACAGTTGCCTTTTCTCCTATCCTGTTTTATGATGTTTCCTCCTCGTCCTGAATGGAAAGATTCTGGGAAGACTTTTAGACATAGAAGATCATGAAAGAAGCTACTTTTGTCCTGTAAAACTTCAGGAAACTCTTAAAGAACACTGTTGTATGAATGTTAATTTTAACCAACTAAATTCTTTTTAACTAAAGATGCAGTCTGTGCTAATAACCAGCTCTGTTTACAGTCTTCTTATAACTTTGTGTCCTCAGCCTCCTCTACGCCGTTAAGCCATACTCAGGTTTCAGTCATGGTCGTCTCTTTGGGAATCTTGCTTTCTTTTAAAAATGGCAAATGCAGACGAGAACGTGACTTCCGGGTGTGCAAAACACCCCCAAACCGCACAGCTGAGTTGGGGGTAACTCTTGTTTTTATGAACGGTTTGTGTTCACTTGGGCAGCTGAGGTTGTGTGGTCTTTTCTCTGATTCTTTAAGGGGGGGGGGAAACAAACAAACACCCAATTCTGGAATTTTTGCTTTTTGGTGCTTGGATGGGATCTCTGGTACCAGGTCAGCACATTGAGCTACCTTGGATTGCAAGGCTTTTCCATCTGTGGGATACTCTGTGGAGGATGAGAGCAGTGTCCCAGTTGCTGGTGAGCTGTGCAGTCTTCAGGGGCTGTGTGTCGTATAGAAACGCCAGTGATGGTAAAAGATGGGAAGGTCTCCCTCCTGCTTTCTCCTTCCTGAACTTCAGTGGTGGATCATTTTGCTCCTACAGATGTTTTGGCTTTCTCCTGGTTCCACAACACATCGCAGCAAATGTCCCTTCCGCTAGGAGGGAGTTGGTTCTAAACTTCTGGACAGCCAACAATCTCTTGCCCTTGATTGAGATTTGTCCTTTGTTTTCCCCCTCCTGCCCTCAGCTGTCCTGGAAAATTCCTTGGCTCTGAGAGCAGTGTGCAGCACGTAGGAGGAGGCAAGCCGCTTTTGACTCATGGTGGTGTATTTCCTGCTGGATGAATCTGCTTTTCAGGGGGCGCGGGGCAGGCAGAATTAGTCCAAATGCAGCACACGATAGACCCATAGGATGCACGTCGGATCTTCCGTAGGGAACAAAAAACTCTAAAAATAGTATAGCAGCCGTATTCCAGGTGTTTTCTCCCAAAAGTGATTCTTCCAGTCAATAAATGTGTTTATTACCTCTCATTTCTTCTGTGCACACCAACAGATCACTTCCAAACCAGGCGATTAATGTTTTTGAAAAGCAGAATATTTCAAAATAGTCTTACTGACCAAATGAACCAAAGTTGTTTTTTTTTAAATGTTATCCTTGTACATTTTTTCAGCCCACAAAACAGTGGTGACCTTACTACAATTTGCTGCTAAGGAAATACTGTAAGGTGTGGATCAGGAAGCAAAGAGCTTATAAGAAGAATCTCACATGTTCTGTTAGAATGCCACCACAATGCCCTGGGGAATCCCCCCCCCCAGAGGCATAGATTTGGGCTTAGTTTCTGCCTTTCTGCAGCACAACTTGTTAGACGTTCCTTGTAGGATTTCCTTGATGTCAGTGGCTTAGAAGTAAGGAACCTGTTAGATGGATTCCTCGCATCTTTGGAAATTCTAGTTTTTTGTTCATTATTCACGCCCTCTGCAGGGGAAGCTGCTTTTCAAACTGGCGAGTTTCAGAAGGTGTTTATCGTACGACTTATTACTGTGGGAAGCAGACAAGTTAAATCACCTTCTGTGCAGAAGGAGCACTGCTACACGCTCCCCTCCGTGAAGGAAGCCCTTCATGTCCCAGCCAGGCTTAAGTCACGGCTGCCGGCTGCGGAGTTTTGGCTCTAAACGGATTTTGCTCTCGGTTGATTTAAATTTTCAATTGTCAGTGAAAGATAAATTTGAAAGAAAGATTTTTTTTTAAAAAAACCAAATATCTCCCACTTAAAGTTTAGATATTTCCTATGCAAGAAAGAATTCAGAATAAGAATCTTTTTTTTACCTGTTTATTTTTAAATCCCCACTTCAAAAGAGTTAGCCTGGCTATGGTTGCTTCGGCATCCTTTGGAAATTTGTTTAGGCAGGAAGTGGATTCCCTCTGAAGGAAGAGACACAGGATCTGGTGACCTTTTATCAGTCTCGATTGTGGGAGAGTTGGTGTTCCATTTAAAGCAAGCTGGATATATGCAAGGCGCGTGCGTGTATGCATGCGTACATGGATCTGTGTGTGTGCCCAGGCTAGCACATTTCCAGAGGGACATCTGCCTATACTAACCCCTCGACTGAACAGTAAACCTTTTCTGGAAGTACCCCACTCCTGGGAAAAAAAAACAATTAACAATACCAGCCATTTTCTCTTGAGGATGCTGCCCTTAGATGGTCTGTTTCGGTTTCCAAGGCAGATCTCTTAAAACATGCCACCATCCAAAGCGCACAAACACACACCCCTTTTCTAGTCTCCGCGTTATTTTCTTACATACTGGGAGCAGGTGACATCTGACAGAATCTGTGCTATTGAGCTTCTATTGTATGGATATAATTTATCACGGTCGTGCTGTAAAGTTCTGTATCTGTGCCCTCCCCTCCCCCTTGTCACGGAAATGTGGTCGGTGGACCTGAGAAAGGTGGGTCTTTTGCCCAAATAAAGTGTCTTGTCAGAATTAAACATGCATTGCTTATATTTGGGGCTACTGTGGATTTTCAGATGCTGGATAGAATGCTCTCTGTGTATTTGTGGAGAGAAAGATCTCACTGGGAGTCTGCACCTCAGCTCTTCTTAACGCAGGGCATTGGGATGCATGAAACTTTTCGGTTAGGAAGGGACTTATCCCTTCTCACTCTTTCCTGCCCTGAGGGACTTGCGGTGTGGCAGTGAATGTGGGGTGGGGGAGAGAAAGTGCAGGCGGGGATAACCCCCCCCCCTTGCTCAAGGCAGGAATCCAGATCAAAAGCAGATCTGACAGAGTGGTCCCATTTTCTCTTGAAGGCCTCCAGGGTTGGACTGCTCACCCCCTCCCCTTGAGGTCATGGGTTCCCTTGTTGTACTGCTCTAACAGTTAAGACGTTTTGCTTGATAATTCATTTGAAATCTAGCTTGAGCCCATTACTACAATGATCAAGAACAGATCCTGCCCCCCTTCTGTGTGTGGCTACCCTTCAGGTCTTTGAAAAGTGCCATCCTCTCTCTCCCCTCCGTCATCTTTTCTCAAGGCTAAACCTGCCCAGTTCTTTCAGTCTTTCCTCCGAGGGCTTGGTTTCCAGTCCCCCCATCATCCTAGTCGCCCTCCTCTGAACTTATTCCAATATATCAGCATTCTTCTTGGAGTGTGGTTTCCAGAACTGGCAGGCAGCTTCATGCACTTCAGTGTACTGAGGGAATGACACTTTTAAGTGGACATACTTGGTGCCTCTGCAGGAACGTTACTGCATGCACGCATGCTCTTTTCTTGTTACCAGAACGCCGTTGGCTTTAGTCCCTTCTCCGTGATTAATTTTGCATCAGGTTTTTTTCCCAGTTCCTGCAATGAATTGATGATCAAGCCATCTGCTCCTATGCCTGACAAAACCATCAAATCTGGATATCACCCCTCCTCCGCCGGCAGGTTCTGACTCTTCCTGTTCTCACGGAGGAACACTTTGTTGCCTGAGTTCTCAACACAATTTGTTTTTGAAGTTTTATTTTTAGGCATTACTGCTGTTGCAGAAATTTCTTTGTTTTTTTTCCCTACCCTTCTTTTTGTCTAAGATGAATCATTTTGTCTATTGTCTGTCACTTTGTAACTGTCACGTTCCTGTCCAATTTTTTTAAATTGCCCCAAGATGCTCCTAAGGCCTGAAGTCTTGAAAAGAGTGGCCAGAATAGTCTGTTTCAGCAGGTGTCACTGAGAGCAAAGCCAAACCCGTATTTTATTTTTTGCATCAGCACGGGCTTGCCTGCTTTATACATTTCTTTTTTTACAGCTGAAGAAGCAGAACTGAATTCATGAAAGCGAGCACTATAAATGGAATTTAAAGATATCACAAGATTTCGGATTATACTTTGTTTTTCATTAGGTGTGTCTGAAATCCCACACTCTTTGCAGCTGAATTTAGCCTTCTGGAGGGCAGAATATCCTACTTAACTGAAAATGGGACTTTGGTTTGTTGCAAGTATAGAGCGAGAGCTGTTGGAATCACACATTAATTTATCATAAATAAACAGTATGTATTGATCAAAGCAGCATTGTCATTGTGTGGCAAGAATCAGTAGGCTGAGTTTATCATCATCATGCTAGATTATTATTTTAAAAAAAAATCTTTAAAGTCTGCATTCTTACACACTTAAGCTTCTGCCCAAGTCTTGATGAATTCAGAGGGGCTTAATTCTTCTGAGCAGCCACAAACAGGTTGAATGCCTAACGTTCCAGATAGAACAGGGGTCATCCTGTCCTTGCAGAGGGAACCCTAGTTCAGTGACAGCACAGAGCCCATTGCATGGAGAAGTTCCTCATAGAAGTGGTTATCATCTCCAGACAAAGAGGGCGGCAGAAATAAAAGAACAGTCCTCAGAGGCATGTTTAGCAAAGGCTTTCATGCCACCCCCTAACAGGAAGGCCCTGTGTTGTTTGAGACACTCTCTCCTGTATGTACTGATGATAATGTTTTTCTTTAAGGACAGTGTTTTCTTGAGTTTTGTCTTACAGCAGTGCAACAAGCCCATGGGGTACCTAACACAGTTATCTCAAACAGCTCATCTGAATGTTTCCCCTTCCCCTAAACCTGGTGACATAAAAAAAAAACCCACTGATAGATGTTCTGTTTTGTTTCCTCAGTGCTAAAGATAGAGAGAAGAGTATGCCGAGATTCTTGTGCTTCTGATAACCTTTTCCTGCCCCTGATTTGTGACGATCTGTTAGCCTACAGATGGCCGTTTGCCTGGAGACTTGCCATTTGGAGGGGTGGGGTGGGCATGCCAGAGAGCCTTGGCCTTACTCGCTCTCCGTGTGCTGAAACCTGTGGCTGTTCTCCTCTCCATCATGCTCTTGGCAAACAGCCGGGCTCAGCCAGCTGGAGCTTCCTGAAAAGGTCAACATGATAAGCGGCAACTAGATACAGGAAGCGAGGTGCACCAGTTGGGATCTGGTTGACAGAGAGAAAAGTCCAGGCAGGGGTCCCCGTTCTTTTAACGGGAGATCCTTTTGTGTGTCTGCTTTGGCTGGGGCTTGAAAACGCTGTCCCAAAACGGGCTCCTGTGTCAACAGTTTTTTTCTTTTTTGTTTTCTGCCCTGATGCCCAAGGGTGAGTGAGGGGTCACAGCATCCCTGGGCTGAATCTGGCCTTCTTAGGGTTTCCACCTTGGGTGTGGTAGCTCCTTTCTTCTTCCTCTCAGCTTGTAAATATATATACTGTATATCCCTATCTCTTGGGTAGTTCAGGGCAGGGTGGATGGATGCTAGACTGTATTTGACCTTGGCTTCCACAGAGCAAGGTGTCTTTGCCCCTGTTCTTAGCAATCCGTGGTTTGCTACTCTATGGCTCATCAACCACAGGCATGGGTCTCCAGGGGGGTGGGGGAACAGTCAGCCAGAGTCCCACCGTCATCTCTGCCCCATAACCGTCCCCCTCCCCCAGGGCAGCCCACAGTACAGCTGGATGGTCTCTCCAGCCCCCCCCCCCCCCCCGGCAGCCGTCTGGAGGATGGGCTGGCTGCAGTTATGGCAAACACCACTTCTTGGCTCCAGGGGCCTCGCATTGTAAAATTCTGCATGAAGGATGTTTGGCTTTTCTAGAGACCTCTGGCTCCCTCTACCGGGGTACCTAAATAAGGCCAAATTTCAAAAGAGATAGGGGTGTGAACACTGTTGCGGCTTTAACAAGATCCCCCCCCTTCTCTTTGTCTCTGTGAGGGTTTTGTGCCTGGGTGCACCGTTTCAGGCTTACCGGCTCACTCCCACGTGGCTTATTTTTCACTAGGTGCAAGTACATTTGCTGAATCTGCACCCATTTAAGCCTTCCACATTTGCCGTGATTTTGCAAGGCCCCAGCGGCATTCCGGCTCCAGAGGCACACTTGCAAAACACAGAACAAAACCTCTGCGCCATCAAGAAAACCTGCCACACTGAATACAGGGTAAAATATTTCATTTGGAAAACTGTACAACACAGCAAACGAGAGTTTACATTTAAACAGCACCTGAGCCTCCAGTGTAGCCTGGATCACTCAGAAGAGGTTCGTAGAGCACCAGTTATCAGGCTGGGAAATGCTGATTGAAGCTTTCGCTTTTCAACAGCAGCAACGTTCTGGACTGGGCAAGGGCTGAACTTGAACCGCTGACCTGCCGTTCTGGAAGGAGTGCCCTGCCTTAGCGATCCTTAGTGCATACTGGTGTGGTGGCCACTCAGCTCAGTGGATGGACCCTAGCCAGAGCGGTACAGTTTCCATTATAAGGCAGGGAGCGCTCAGAGCACCCCCTCTGTTCTGAGACCTCGCAGGACGCCTCGATGAGAGTTCAGCCGCGGGCTCAATATTTGTGAACCCCCTCGGTCACTGATGTTAGCGACGGGTTAGAGGTGTTCCCGGGACTCACGTCGTAGCCGAGCTTCTTCATGTCTTTGGTCACCACGTTGAAGGAGAGGGTGACAAAGCCTTGCGAGCGGACCCTCGTCACTAGGAGAAGATAAGCCGAAGTCGGTGAGAAGGATGGAGGAGGCTTTCAAAGAAGAAAGGGTTTTCTAGGTAGAGAGTACTGAGAAGGGGTTGACCATTCCCTTCTTTGGGGGGGGGTGTCCTGGGATGTGCAGCTTGCCCAAGGCTGCAGAGGCAGCACCGTGAGGAGATCAAACCTTTGGCTCTGCAGCCAGACACCTAAACCACTAATCCCAAAAGTAAGTCCAGAAAAGGTACTCTCTCTAGGGCAGTTAACCTCAGACCACAGGTGAGGGGGTCCCACGTGTGTGGATGGTCGAGCCTGTGAGCTTCCTTTTGAACTGCTCTGTTCTAGGCTGCGCTCCTCTTTAGGAGGAAGGAACCCTTTTCAAAGGTCAGCCCCGCCGGGGCTCCTTGTGGGAGGCTGTCCTCTCTTCCTCCTCCTCTTGCTGCTGTATGGAGACTGGCCCACTGCCAGCTCTTCTTGTCACGGCACAACCCGCCCCAAGGACGTCTCCCTTCTCAAGCGCTTACCTTCACGGCCTTCTCCTCGTGCAACCACTTTGGGGTCTACGAATTCTGGGCGCCTCCCTGTGAGCCAGCTAGGATTAAAGCAAAAGGAGGTTAGAGAGGCTGAAAGGTGGAGTCACAGACCCCCTACTTGACTAAAAGGAATCGCCGTTCATGTTTCTAGACAGCCCCCCCCAAAAATAAAACCCCACAAAAACTCCTTGCTTGACTCCCATTTTATTTTAATTCATTAACTTTCTTTTCCCAATACTGAGATTGGAGGCAGCTTAAAAAAATGTCTAAAACAGTTAGTAGTACTTGAACTCTGTTAAATATATGCATTTTATAAATATCTAAACCACCACTGAATGAAAACATTTGCTTTTTATCTGCCACTCTCACATATTCCACTACCAGGACTTGGAAAAGTTACTGTTTGGTCCTATGCCTTCCAAAATCCCACTGTGGCCCTGCTGGTTAAGGGATTCTGGGAACTGCAGTCCACAAATGTCTCTTTCCAAGTTCTGCATCATCTGGTTTATCTGCTGGATTGAGAAGCCAGTCCTGCTCAGGGGCCCAGATGAACTCAAATGGAGCACCTCATGACCCCAGCAGATTTATCTGAACAGACTTGAGCGTAAGAGACTTGCCCACAAGGGCATCGTTTTTTCATCACCTTGTAAACTTCTGCAGCTTGGATGTAGATTCTGGAACAAACATGGGGATGGTCCTTTTGTGCCTGAAAAAAGAATGCAGAGGGCCTGAATGTCTTTAGACCGTTGAGTTCTGAGAATGCACTGTGTGAGCTTTCCTGCCTCTGAATGCCAGGGAACCTCACCTCCCCTTCCCAGAAAAGCCTCAAGTGACTCGACAGTAATGCTGATTATGATACTAATTAATAACAACAGCAACAAATAAACATTTGCAGTGCTCTAACGGTCTTTGGTAAAACAGAGGCGAAGGTCTACCCTTGTAACTGAATGAATGACAAAGGGGGCTTTCTCCCCAATGGCATCCTGTGAGAGACTTGGGAGTTCACCAGTTGTGGTGGAAGCAGCTGGATCCAGAGGACGTCCACCGCTGGATTCCGAAAACTGTTTTTTAGGACTGAGTCATTAGATCGTGTTTATGCTCCATTAACACCTCTGCCTTGCCAGCACACATTTCTTGGCTCTTTGCCTATCACACGCACTGGCTTTTCCTTTTGGAGGCCAATTCAGCTGAAGCCTCCTTCAACTGAAATGAAGAGATGAGAAAGGACCTTGACCATTAGCTTACCTCCCTGGTGTAAAAGGAACATGAACGGCTCCATATCCTCGCACCACATCGTTCCCAAAAATGTCAGGGCCATACACGCTTATGACAATCTGTGGCCCTGTTGAGGAAGAAAACACACACACACACACACACACACACACAAAGGCTTAAATTAAGGGCCTGGCAACTTCTGTGGGATCAGGAAACATATTTTGGTTGATTTAACTGCTTTGAGGGTTGCCCCCGGAAAGAGCGACGCTTCAGTCTGTTCTATTTTTATTGGTCCATTTCCCCGCGACTGTTCGTTATTTTTGTATTTAATAAATACTGTCTATAATAAAAGGCATCTGTATGAAGAAATGATGTGCTCCCCAGATGCTGAGACTTAATTCTTGGATGCGTTTCAGTAATGATTATTGAAAAATGAATTTTAACTCAGAGTGCAAGAATCTCATGATGCTGATTTGGGGGGTTCTTTAATTCCTCCTGGTTCTTACCCTTCCCATGATTTCTCAATATTTCTACCCCAGTTTAATCTTACTTTGAGTACTACGATATCCCACTGCTTTTTGGCGTGGAGCGGAGATGGTCCTTACGCTGATGGGACAGCAGCTTCAACGGCTGCACAAAAGGGCTGGGTGGTTTGTTTTGTGTTGGGGGGGTGAGGCCCTCCACTCCCATAGGGATTTCGAAGGAGCAAAGCTGGGAAGGATCTCTGCCTCAGCAGAGCCCGACTAGAAGCAAAGGGGCAAATTATTCTGTGAATTTCCTGTAAGTCGTGATGGATAAGCAGAATACAGATTCGGGGATGTGGAAACCAGATTCAAGACCTGGTGCACATTCTCCTTGCCTCTGCCCATAAGAAGGAGAAGCAGTAAAGTGTGCAAAAGAAGACAACATACAGAGGGATTTAAGAGGCATAATTTATAGAGCAAGACAATTCATAAGAATAGAAAAAATGCAGGATGCTAACTTCTACAGAGTCAAATTGTTGGTTTAACTAGCTCAGTGCTATTAATACTGAAGAAATGAAAGTTTTACTGTAACTAGTCCTAATGGAGCTGCTGTAAAGAACTGGAATGCAGATAAAAAGCACATAAAAACACACGTCCTAATATTGATTTTTAGAAGACGAATAAGCTATAAACCCAACCCAATCGATGCAATGAATACGTATTTAAACACAACACATCTAAATGTGTTTGGACATTAAAAGGTATTTTAGAGTCTCCACTGCTTGTTGACGTAGAGTAACACCAATCTCCTCTAACCCTTCGTGGAGATACTGTACTGAGGTTTGAGCCCGCATCCTTTAACACTGAAAACAGGAGATTTATCCCAAAGCTACATCTCAGTTCAGCTTTGCTTGGTGCACAATTCTAAGCTTTTATTCTGGAGTGGATTACCCCAAACTCCCCTGTTATTAAGGAGAAGGAAATGTTGGGAACCACCCATCTCATTTTCCCCCAAGAAGGAAAATAACTGCCTCTGTGATTGTGTGCCCCCCCAATCTTTCTCATTCAGTCAATAACTGATGGCCACCCCCTTATGAGACCACGCATGCCAGCTTCTCAGTGCCTCTTGAACAGTTACCAGGCGTTGCTTACAGCCAAAAGGGCTGGTGCTTTTGAAAGTGATGTCAATGGGGAAATTCCACACCAGGTCTTGCCGAGCATCTCTGCTCTTAGATGTGATCTGTGAGATCCCTTCTTCCAAGCCCTTAAAAAAAAGAGAGAAAGACAGACAAGAGCATGAATGAAGACAGGCTGACATTTCTGTATAATCCAGGTTCTCAATCCCACAAGCAAAGCTTGGAAAACAATGTAAATCTTAATGCACAAACATTCCATCTTTAGGCTGCAAGACCCCAAAGTCCCACCAATAAAGATGATGCTATAAAAATAATGCTTTTTATAAGACAGTCATTACTAATGGTTTTATGGTTTGTTAATGACCACTGTTTACTGGCTTAAAGTGTTATAAAAGTAAAACTAATGCTTTATTTCCAAGCTCGGCCCAAGAGCCTATAGACGCCACTGGAAAGTCCCCATTAAAGCACCAGCTTTGTCCTTCGGTTGTCTCTTGCATTGGTTGTTTGCTTGTAGACAACCTCTGGATATGGGGGTTCTGTTTCGTTTTTTCTGAAGGACAGCCCCCCCCATGACAAATATAGTCAGGAAAAAACTGATGCAAATAAGCCACTGAGCTGTATTTCACAGAAACGTGTAAGTAAATAACGATGGACATGATGCTTAGAGGATGGTTCTAACCTAGTAAGGTGATGGTTCTAACCTACAAATGGGTTGGATCCTAGCTATCTCAAGGACTACATCTCCCCTTATAAGCCTCGATAAGGGTGTTGAGATCATCAGGAGAGGCCTTTCTCTCAGTCCCCCCACCTTCATAAGTGCATTTGGTGGTGACACAAGAGAGGGCCTTCTCTGTGGCTGCTCCCAGACTCTGGAACTCCCTGCCACTGGACTGGCTCCATCTTGGCTCCCTGCCACTGGAGGCCAGACTGGCTCCACCTTGGTGGTCCTTCAGCAAGTGAGCCAAGACCTCCCTCTACAGGCAGGCTTTCCCTGAGTCCACCGGCTGCCCGGGTCGGGTGTTTTTAATGGATTGGTCGTGCCTTTGCTGCTTCGAATGTGTTTTTTGGTCTTGTCTTTGTTGGCCATTTTTAGTGGTGGTCGCTGTTTGAGCCTTTTTTAGTACAGTATCTGTATACTTACTGTTTTTAGCTTTCAATATTGCATTTTAATTGTTGCAAGCCAGCTTGGGTTCTTTTTAAGGAGAAAAGTGCAGTTAAAATATTGTCAATAAATCAGTAGAGAGGTGGGGGAGGGGAGAAACATATTTTAGGTATTTTCCCCCCCTTGTTTCTTTGCATTTCTTTTCTTTTTAAAATTAAATGAGAGAGAGACATACCGAGGTGGGGGCCCAGTCATAACCATACACGAAGCCGTATTTGCAATATAGGTCGTCAAACTCCGGGAACTGAAAAGGAAACACAATTGCAGTTCTAACATCATGATGATGATGATGATGATTCCAGACAAGGCAATTCTGGGCTTCTAGCAGCTGAACATTTCAAAAAGATGCACACATCCCTGACCTCATTTTTTTAATCATCCTCATCATCCAGACATGGCCATTTTTTGAGTAGCTAAAACTTTTTAAAAGCTGCAGGGGATGCTGGGCGTTGTAGTCCAAACAGGTTAACCCTAACTGTGCGACTATCCCTGGCAGCTCGAAGGGCAGCCCTCAAGAACCCCAATCAAATCACTTCCCCACCCCACCCCACCCCTCGGTTTATAAAGGTGCACCTGTTGGGTATCTGCCTGTGCTGCGATGCAGGGGAGGAGACGAGGCCTTTGGTGAGCGAGAGGAAAGAGGGAAAAGGAGGTCCCCCCCTCCGTTGGGGCTTGGTAGCGCCCAAGGCGCGGGAGGGACAGCCAGGCGGGCGAGACCATGGCACCTACAGGGGGGGGCGAAGAGAGGAAGAGGCTGTATTGGTTTTCCATGGCGGCGGCTCGCTCACCTGCGCGCTCTCGATCTGCCCGTTGACCATCAGGAGGAAGACGGTTGGGTTGGGAGGAAAGGGAGAGGGCGAGGGAGAGGAGGCCGCCATCGCAGCGACACTCGAGGCGCGGAGGAAAGGCCCGTTGCTAAGGGCCGCCCGCTCTCTGCCCGCCTTAGCAACGGCGGACGGGGCGCGGCGGAGGACAAACTTCCTTCGGGAGGCGAAGGGGAGGGGCCAGGAGGGCTTGTTGAATTCTTTTTTTGATATCCATACACTTCGTGTTTTTACTTTTTGAATATTGTCCTTTGAATGATGTGGGCTGCCTTGGGCCCATCCTTTCAAGAGGAAAGGGGGAGTAAAATTATTTTAAATGAATACTATATATAAGGTGTGCGTGCACACGCACCCACAATAGGGAACACAATTGAATGTGTGTGTGCGAATATTTCTCATAGATGGGTGCCTGTGTGCGTGCCTTTTATGGATTCATTTTAGATGTGTGGTTGTATGCCTCTATACATATTAGATTTATGGTTTTACGACAAGTCCCCGAATTCCCCCAGGGGAGTCCTGGGAGTTGTAGTCCAAAGTGACAGAGTCTCCTCCCCCCCCCAAAAACAGCTGATGACTGAAGGAGCTGCACCTGCTCTGTGCGTGGCTGGCAGGTTGAGCTGCAGCCTTTCTGTCCAGGTAAGGAGCAGAAAACAACCCTTTTTGGCTCTCTCTTTTTTATTATTTTATTTTATTTTATTTTGCTTCTGGAGCCCACCAACGTGGAGGAGAGGAAAACGAGCATCTCTTTATTATGATTTATTTGTTGCATTTGTTCTGGAGAGAGGAAGAACTCCGGAGGAGGTGGGGCGGGGGGGGAGGAGAGAGAGGAGTGCTTCTTTACTGGGAAAGAAACTTTGTTCTGAATTGTGTACATACAGGGAACTTGAAAGGAAATTTGGAATATTGTCGTTCTTATGTCTCACTGTTTTGCTATTTGTGTCCAGTGGCTTGTTAAAGTACAAACAAGATTGCCTTTTTAGGCGCCATGTTGTTTAATCGTTGGTGTGAGTTGCTCTGGGTGGTCCCTTCGCTGGGAGAAATTTAGCATCAAAGTGAAAAGAAATTAATAAACGTGGGGGCTGGAGGGACCGGTGTTTAATTACCAAAAGAGATGAGCAGAGTTTTTGTAAGCTGTTCTAATGCTGGACAAAGCGAAACGCAGCAGTACAACAGGAAGGCCAGATCTGAGATGGACTGAGTCCATAGAAGAAGCCACGGCTTTGAGTCTGCCACAGCTGAGCAGAGCGGTTGGTGGCGGGATAATCTGGGAGTCACAGAGTCAGAGGATCTTTTCACCACATAACCAGACCAACAGTGATAAAATATTACTATGTTTTGTTATGAATGCACTATTACTGTTTTGATCATTGTTGTAGCGAGGTATTCTTGTTGCAATGATTTACTGTAATGTTTTGGGGAAGGTTTTTTTTCCCCCCCTCCCAAGGAAAGCTTGGCACATTTTAGTTTAGGAAAGAAAGCCATCTCATTCTTGTTATTACAGATACAAAAAATAGCCCATTGTAGCATAATGGTGCCATCTTAATTAACAATAATAGCAAGAATATCATACAGTTAAACTAACAAGCCTTAAGGGGGCCGTAGGAAAAGAACCTCTAAATGCTTTATGAAGTACAGTACAGTAATTTGGATTTTCTGTTACCACTAGATGTCTCTCTGCTATCACAGCAGGAAAGACTGTCTGTTGAAGAACATCAAGGATGATTTTAAACTGTAAAACTTCATCAGAAAATAGTTTTAGCGGCTGGCAGCTCCATCTCCGGGGTGGACCCCCGAGAAGAACACTTCTTGTGTTGCCAGTTTTCATTTCATGTCATTTCTTTCCTGTTTTCCACCAGTGATTTAACAACATGCCACCTAAAAATCAAAGATGTGTTACTACCTTAAAACCAAACAATTTCAAAGGGAAAAAAAAGAAGCCCGCCCTTGAACGGCAGACCTCCCAAGCCTAAAACATCCACACAATCTTTTTTTTTTATTTTTCATGCTTTCTCTCCCTATTGGTTTATTTTTAAAAACCGTCTAACCTTTTAAGTTGCTGTAAAGTTCTGGGCAGCTTTAAAGCTTTCGTCGTTTGTGGGTTTGTAACTTAAGCTCCAGAAAGTTATTGCTCACCTGCAGGATTTTCTTTTAAAAACCCTATAATTTACCCGGGCTTTTGGAAGGGAGGGGAGAGGGGACGAGAGAGAGTGAGTGCTCTTTTCCCCTTCCCGCATGGGAAACTGGCTTATTAGCTTTGCCTGTGTTTCAGTTTTACTGTTTCTGGGAGAGAATGCTTAATAAATAATCTTAGAACTGCGAACGTGGGAAGGACCCTATGGATTGTTGAGTCCAGCCCCCTTCACGGAGACCCAGTGTGGGCAATCGGAACTCCCAGCCACTAGACATAAACCCCTGAGCTATCCAGCAGTTCAGATGACAGTCGCCTGGGTCTTGGCGCCTGTTTTGGAAGGCAGTCAAGAGATGTTGTTTAAGAGACAGAAACCAGGAGAGGAATGAAACGTGATTTTAGAAATGCATAGTGCAAGGGAAGCCGACTGGGTGGTACGAATCTCACCACCTTCCTTGGTCTGATCTCTTGCTTTTGCAGGATTTTACCGTTAATTAGCTGCAGAACTACCTGAGCAGAACGAGAGAATCCGGGACTTTGAATCCCTTTGTTGCCTTTACCGTCTGAATCTGTCCAGCAGTTCAGATGACAGTCGCCTGGGTCTTGGCGCCTGTTTTGGAAGGCAGTCAAGAGATGTTGTTTAAGAGACAGAAACCAGGAGAGGAATGAAACGTGATTTTAGAAATGCATAGTGCAAGGGAAGCCGACTGGGTGGTACGAATCTCACCACCTTCCTTGGTCTGATCTCTTGCTTTTGCAGGATTTTACCGTTAATTAGCTGCAGAACTACCTGAGCAGAACGAGAGAATCTGGGACTTTGAATCCCTTTGTTGCCTTTAACGTCTGAATCTGATTTTGTTTGTGTGAGTGTGTGTTTTTAAACAAGGCATGCAAGCTGCAGTTTAGAGCAGCTTCCGGCGTTATTATTTTTGGAGGATTTGCGGATGATGATGAACTTGCCTGGCCACTTCTGCCTTCCAAGGATTGCTCAGGGGATAAGCAGGGGAACAGCCTCTGCCTGTCTGGCTTGCTGCATGTACCGCCATGCGACCCAACGGCCTCGTTGTGTCCGTTTTCCTCCATCTGCTACCCTGCAGATGCTTTGGGAATACGACTCCCTTTGTATCTAGGAAGCACGCTCACTGATGATGATGATGATGATGATGATGATGATGATGATGATGATGATGATGATGATGATGATGATGATGAGTGTTAAGGGGGCCTAACCAGCCAGAGTATTCTGGAAAGTTGTAGTCAGAAGCCTAATTCTTCCCATGGTTGGTTCTACCTTAGTTGTAGATTAAATGGGATTCAACTACCCCCAATATTAAACCAGAGCCGACCACAGGGGTCACATAACACATACACACACACACACACACGTTACAGCAGCTTCACTGGCTGCTGAACTGTTTCCAAGCACAACTCAAAAGTGCTGGTTTTAACCTATAAAGCCCTACATGGCCTGGGTCCGAGCGATCTCAAGGACTGTGTCTCCCTTTATAAGCCTGTTCAGGTGTTAAGATCATCAGAAGAGGCCCTTCTCTCAGTCCTGCCTCCTTTACAGGCACCTTTGATGGGGACATGAGAAAGGGCCTTCCGTGTCTCTGCCCCCAGACTGTGGAACTCCCTCCCACTGGAGGCCAGGCTGGCCCCGTCTTTGCTCTCCTTCCGCAAGCAGGCCAAAACCTTCCTCTGCAGGCTGGCTTCCCCTTCATGACTGGATGCCTGGGAGGGTTTTTTTTTTAAAAGGATGGTTGTGACATGTTGCTTTTAAACATGTTTTTTTAGTACTGTACTAATTTTTCCTTTTTAAAAAATGTATTCCTTTAATTCTTCTTTTTAAAACTTTTGTATACTTAACTGTTTTCAGCTTTTGAATATTGTCTTTTAATGCTGTCTTTCTGAAGGAGGAAGGCAGGGTAAAAGCAGTTTAAATAAATATTTTTAATTAATAGAGATGTAGTTGTCCTACTGGCTGCTGCCTGAATGGCTCAGTGATTTATGTCTTTGGGTGGGAGTTTGATTCCCCCCCCCCACTTGTGCCTCCCGGGAAGAAGAGGTGCCAGCCTGGTTAGCCTTGGGCAAGCCGCACCGCCCCAGAAGAAGGGAAGGGGGAAGCCACTTCCGTGTCCTTTCTCCCCAGAAGAGAGGGCCGTGTCAGACCTAACTCGGAGGCACCTCATTATTGATGATTCTATCCCTGTTCTTCTTTGGTCTAGCGGCACGGTGCAATTTCCCTTGGTCAAGGTTGAAAGCGTTACCTGCTTCTCTTTCTCTCTCTGTGTCCTATTAATGCACAGCATACCAGGAATAAATCAAAGCATTTCTGGGAAGAGCGCAGGGTGTTATCAATCCTAATTCTTAGTGCATTTTTTTAAAAAAAAGGGGGGGAGGAGGAGAGGAACAGAAGGACTTGGTTTTTTTTTGGTGGTGGTGGTGTCTGAACTCTTGCCCTCCCTTTGGAACAATTGGATCTGAACACGGCCGCCGTCGTCTGTCCTCGGCTGTTAATGAATGACTCATCCTGGCATCCGAGGCAAGGCGGTTCGACAGGTGGGTGCAGCTCCTGCCGTTTGTTCCTCAGTGAATCCTCGAGAAAGAGAATGCAGGTGAATGAGGAATAATAGCCATGCCAGGGATGTGAGAGATGAACCTTGAGGGGTAGGACGCCAGGGATGTGTCACCAGCTGCTGCCTTCCCTTGAGATGGGTTGCCTGAGGTCTAGGATGAAAGGCCACCTTTCAGGGACTCACCCCCCTTGCCCCGCTCCCCTTCTGTGTTGTCCAGCCGTGTGGTGTTGTACGGCTAGTGTGTTGGCTTGGTCATTCATGGGAACGCCAGGCTGCAAAGCCTGCCTCCCTTTGGGAGGGACTAGGGAATGTGTGCCCGCCCTGATGGGCATAATCGCAACCCGGCCCTAGGAAGAGGCACAACAGTGACCCTCAAAGGCAGGCCGGTCACTCTGCTGGGATGAAGCCAAAGGCCGAGGCACAGAGATGCGGCAGGATGATTCCTGCCCTTAGAGCAGTGATGCTCAACCTTGGGCCTCCAGATGTTCTTGGACTACAACTCCCAGAAGCCTTCAGCACCACCTCTACTGGCCAGGATTTCTGGGAGATGAAGTCCAAGAACATCTGGAGCAGTGGTCCCCAACCTCAGGCCTCCAGATGTTCTTGGACTTCAATTCCCAGAAATCTTGGTTAGCAGAGTTGGTGGTGAAGGCTTCTGGGAGTTGTAGTCCAAGAACATCTGGCGGACCCAAGGTTGGGTACCACTGCCTTAGAGGAGCTGATCCAAAGGTGAAGAAGCCAAATCGGCAAATCCTACAGAGATGCAGCGGGCAACCACCTCTGTCAATGGCCACTTGGGCTTTAGAGAAGTCATTTCTTGTTAACTATTTTTTTTCATAAACCAAAGGAAGACCATCTTCCCCTCATACAAACCAACAAAACAGCCCACCCTAATGTTGATGTTATAGCGCCTCTATATGATGTTGACTCTTTATTTTTAGCGTACTTCTTGCAGAGAAGAGGTGATAGGGTTCTGATTAATTTCTGCTCAATTTCTTAATTTCTTAATTCCTTCCCTCCCGCCCGTCCGTGACAGTAGCATCCCAGCCAGGAGGCCTTTAAACCGTGGCCCATCTCTCTGGCAAGGCTAGCATCTGCCGTAGCCAAGGGCCTAATGCGGATTGTGCTGGAACATCCCGTTCCCTGTGTTTTGGGCTTGACGGGTTTCCAGCCTGCCCAGCAGCTGAGACGGGGAAATGGCCGAAAGAGAGCCACCTGAACGTCCCAGAGGAGAGGGGCCCTGGGGAGGGACCAAAGGGAGACGAGAGGAGAGGGAAACTGAAATCAACAGCATGTTTTAGCTCCTTTGTGCCAGGAGTCTTAAGGAGGCGTATCGTGGCCTATTAGAGCCAGGAAGAAACCCATACAGACCCTGGGAAGCCACCCTGAGGGTGGTCCTGTGAGGAGCTGAGGGGTCTGGCCTTCTGGGGAAGTCGGGAGGGCTGGGTCGAAGCCCCAGGAGATCCAACTTCATGACCAGGCCTTGAGGGTTCTCCTGGACTGTGACATCTTGAGGCTAGCAGGGAGACCCCCTGAGAAATGCTCTTTTGCACAGAGCAAGCCACAAGATCTTTCTAAGGGTTTATAGGGAAGGGGCTCTTTCTCCTGGACTGTCCTCAAAACGGATTTCCTGGGTCATTTTTGAAGGGACGCTGAAGGTCATCTAGTCTATCCTCAATCCAGTGCTAAATTACCCTTCATAAGATGACCATCCAACGTCTAGTTAAAACCTTTTAGTGCAGGGGAGCGTACGACCCTTGGACACACAGTTCAGCGTCGGATAGCACAACTTCCCTGTTCTTATTCAGTGATGGAGCCGTAGCTCCTCCTGTTGAACAGCCATAAACTCAGCACTGGCCTGCCGCACTTTGCTCGCTTACGTCCAGAGGACTCTCACCGGAGACAGAACTTGCACTGAGCCGGTTGAACGAGAAGTCAACCGGTAGGCAGATCCCACTGAATATGTGGGTCTCCTCTGCTTGGGCCCTGGTGATGGGACATTTCCATCCCATGTTTAACCATCTTCACGGATCATGGCCGCCATTAGGGTTCAAGAAGGAGCAGCCCCATAGATGTTCTTTTCTGGCGTCAGTCAGGAGTTTTGGAGTCTTTGGGCGAAATGCTGCACGCTTTGAGGTTAGGGACCTGATCTGAAAATCAATCCCAAAGCCGTTTTGGAGTCAGGTGGGAAACACCAACACCAACACACACAACACACACACCCCCAAAGCCGTTTTGGAGTCAGGTGGGAAACACCAACACACAACACGCACACACGCACACATGCACACACCCCCACACCCCCCACACCCACACCCGCAACCTTACAGTAACTTGGGCCCTAATTCAGTTAAAAGCAGCCTTTAATCTTCCGTCCTCATCCCAAGACGAGAAGCATCTGCCTGAACAGGAACAAAGGGCTTTGATCTTGGCTTTTGGAGTCAGGTGGGAAACACCAACACACAACACGCACACACGCACACATGCACACACCCCCACACCCCCCACACCCACACCCGCAACCTTACAGTAACTTGGGCCCTAATTCAGTTAAAAGCAGCCTTTAATCTTCCGTCCTCATCCCAAGACGAGAAGCATCTGCCTGAACAGGAACAAAGGGCTTTGATCTTGGCAGCGCCTTTTAAGGATAAATAATGGAAGCGAATCGCTCTCTAAAACCTGCCCGATTAAAGCTTTTAGCACAAGGACACGTCTTAATGGCTTGGAACTTTTGGAAGCTTTTCTGTTGTTCTCGGAGGCCTCTGGAAATGGAAATCTGGAGCAGCAACAGTGCGTTCCAGTTTAGGGTTCATCAGCCATTAGTGGCTGATGATGATGTTGTGGTCTTTGCTGCTCAGAAACTCCTGGTGCTTTTGCCCTCTTTCCATGACATCTTTGGGTTCCAATAGATGCCAAACCTACTGCCCAGATCTCCAGGGTCCAGGCATCTGTTTCTCTTCCACCTTGAGCTGAGATATTTCTGTATTTCTCTCTTCTCTCCCGTTCAGCTCTTCCCGTCGGATTCAAAAATGCCAGTGCGTTCTTCTTGACCTTGCTCTCCTTCCCTCAAACCAAACCCGCCGGAATAAATTATTGATAATCACCCTGTTTCTCAAAAGCGCGTGATCTCCCGAGGCAGGCTAAAGGGTTTGTGCACCGTGTAATCGCGAGGAGAGTCATCTCGGAACCAAACTAGACGTGGCGTGGGTGATCCGTGAATGCAGTTCCTCTGGGGCTTTAAAATGTGTGTTGATATCTCCCGCAGGGTTCATGCTGGGATGCTGTGATATTAAGGAGGCGGTGACTAATTTCCCCTGCATTGTTTTAATGTTTAGACCAAAGAAGGGTATAAATTGTCCGGTCATCTCTGGTTTGCGTTTTGGGTTAAACAGAATTTTGGAGAGGGAAACCATTTTAATGGGGAAAATGTTGGAGGGTGGTCAAGAAGGTTCAGTTCTCCGTCTGAGTGCCAGGATGATGGAAGGTGTAATCCAGCATGCCCAGAAGGGATTTGGTTTTGGAAATCTGGGTTTAAAATGTTGGAACGGAAATGAGGTGAACATTCTGATCTCACAGCTTGTTCTCTCTGAAGAGAGGTACTGGGCATTATATCCTGCCTTGCAGTCTTTGTTGAACACATGGGATAGCCATGTACTAAAGAGATTAAGGTTTGCCTCCAGATTAGTCCCGAGGTATATTTAATGGCTTGCCACCGATTCTTCCACTGTAACCTTGATTTATCAACTCACCTTGTGTTGCCCATTGCTTCCTGTAAACATTCTGAGATCACCCCAGAGATTTCTGCGTGGACGAAGATGTGCTGTTGATGTCACTGGTACTAGCCAGGCCACCCTCTCTTCCACCTAGTTTTGCCCTGTTTCTAGGAAAACACTGTGAAGAGTGTCACCTCCCCCCTCCGAGAAATTTCCCCCCAGAAATGGTACTGTTGTATTGACAGCTGAGGGGTGGCCCCTGAACATTTATCCTCCTGTACAGAAACAATTTCAATTCTGGATACAGTTGGGCGATTAATTTCCTCCCCAGTACATTGAACAAAAGAGCAATCTTTAAATAATTTACTATTTATTTGAATTTTTTTTTTGGTTTTGTTTTTTTCCTGTCAACTTCGGAAATCATACTTCACTTTTCAGCCCTCATTGTGCACTTTAAAAGTTCAGATTATTGCGACATTTAACCTGAATTC